CCCCCCCTAAACCCGGGAAGCACAGAGTCTCCAGTGCTCCTGTTAAGGCCCATTCGTTCTCGTGACCCTGTTTCTCCCCCAGGTTTGGCGCGGGGTCCCCCCTCCCCCACCCCGGCCGCTGTCAGCGGGAGCATGGTCAGCTGAGCAGTTGGTGATCACGTTGCTGGGGGTGGGGGGTGGGGGAAGGATCCTGTGCCTGGGGGTGGGGTGGAGAGAAAAGAGCTGAAAGTCAAGGTCGGCTGCCCTGGGGAAGAGGGGTCTGGAGGGCGGGAGGCAGGAGACAGGTGCGGACACCTCTTCTGAGCTCATGCGGCTTAGAAAACCCTCCTGTAAGATTTCCCAGGCCCAGGCCTGCAGCTCTGAGTCTCTGCTCCCGGCACTGTCGTCCGGGTAATAATAGATGCCGACAATATTGGACACAAAGCTGGAGATTCAGGAGTTTGTGGTGACTAACGCTTGGGAGTCTGAGGTGCCCAGGGGTGTGGGTTGGAAGAGGCCACTGAGATCAGCTGCCCCCAAGGGAGGAAAGTGAGGCCAGAGAAGGAAAATGGCTAACTACACACGGCGCGAACTGCTGAGCTCACGACCTCCCTCGCCACCAGGGGGTGCAAATCTAGGACCCGGGAGCTTAGACGTTTGCAGGTAGCTTTTGATTGGTTACCAAGTTTCTTCTTTGTTCCTATTTTCAAGTTGAATCAATGGCCACGGGGTGAACGTTTCTCATGCTCAGAGGGCACGTCCTATCCACCCGAGGTCTGCTCTTAGGGCTTTCCATTAAATTCTAATAGTAACCTGTGGGATAGATGCTCTTGTAATCCCTGTTTTCAGATGAAGAAACAGGCACAGAGAGGCTAAGTGCCTTGCGTAAGGTCACACAGCAGGGAAAGAAGAGGCACCAGGAAGGCACTGCGAAATAGCAGTGCGTTTGGGCAGAAGGTGGGGGGCAGTGGATGAAGAAGCTCACAGAGATGTAGCTGAAGGTGAGGCCCGGAGCCCTCGGGCCCCAGGAGGGCCTCACTTCTCTACGGCCGCCCGGATCCAGAGCCCGCTGTCTGGGCAGTAGTCCCGGGCAGGATCCTGAACGTCTCGGCCAGCCAGCTGGTGGGGCGGGAGGAGGCAGTGGACGACGCCAGCCTCTGGCCCTTTGGCGATGGGCTCCAGACAGTCTGTCCGTTCCAGCAAAGTTGACCGTGACGGGCAGAGAGTCCCGCCACTCAGGGCCACAGCTCAACCCCGCCAGGCCCCCTCTTCCGACCACCGGGCTCCCGGGCCTCTCGGAGCTCCCGGACCCTGACCTGGCTGATGGGCTTTCCCGGCGCAAAGCGTGGGCCTGCGTGTCGAGGTGGAGGGTATGGCAGAAACAAGGCATGAGCAGCAAGG